GGCTAGGATGAGGTTGAAACTCCACCTGAGCTGGCTGTGCCGTCTGGAGGAAGAGAGAGGAGTGGCAGGAACCACTGCCACAGCCGGTCTGAGGCCGCATGTCTCAGTCACCAGGGATGGGCACCAGGTGAGAGTTCACCACTCTCATGCCCTAAAAGAATTATTAATAGAAGCTGCTGGTGCAAGAAGGGGGCAGATCTCATGAACTAGGGAACAAAAATATTAGAAAGAGAGAAGAAAAAGGACCCTGGGTGATAAGTGACATGGGGCAGCAGTTAGTTGGACACTAACGTGGTGACACCACACAGGTTAGTGCCCTGTTAGGGAAACTCGCCCACAGTCCCACTGCTTTTACATCTGCTCTGTAGACAAACACATTTGGGAGTGCTGCTTAGGGGAATAAGGGGGCTGTGTGGAAATCAGAAGTCTCCATAATTCTACCCACTCATTTATTCATTCGATAAGCTTCATGGAGGGTCTACCAGGGACCAAGCCCAAGACACAGTGCTTGTCCTCAGACAGCACCACCAAGTAGAAGAGATGCATACGAATGGTGTTCTCACCAAGGAAATGCAGCTAAAAAACAGCAGGTGTGTGAGCGGCAAGACTGCCATCTTCCTCCTGGCTTCCTGGGTCATATGAGGGGGGCGGGTCCATGAACATGACCCTTCTGGTCTCGCCACTCCCTCATGGGCTTTTCTCCCAAGAGGAGAAGACAATGATTCACATGCAAGTCTATGAAAAGGAGCAAAGCCCAGGTGACTCAGGCTTCCTTCCTTCCCCTTAGGGCCTCCCTCTCTGTCCCCCCCACCCCACCCCGTCATTGATGTTACAGCCAGGCACTTCTGGGAGGGTTGCTTCACTGCTGGGGTGCAATATAAGGAAGTTCACTATCTTTCAACCTGAAGCTGGAAAAAATAACTCCTGTGGCCTTGTCATAAAGGTGATGTTCTTATCTGCTGTTGTGACTCCCTGTGACTCAGTTCTGAATGCAAGCAGGGGACATACAAAGCATCATTTCCAACTGCTTCTGGTTGTAACAGGTGTCTATCTCGTCTGCTCTTTTCCCCAGCCACTGTTATTACTTATCCTATTTTGGTGATGGGCAGTTTTCTCATTCCTTTACAGGAGAAAAAAAACAGAGAACCCGAGCACTGAATGACTCATGAGAGACCATTTGATAAGCCAATTTGTTCCCTTATGATGGGAAATTCAGGTTCCCTAACACAGTTGTCATTTAGAGCACATAGCCTTCGATTGAAATCTTGGTTGGGGGGGGATGCTGAGTCTTGGAAATCATTTTTCTGCCATCTAAGAGGAGCTATTCTATTAGATCTGGAATCAAAACACTGTGTACAAGGTCCACTCACTCCACTTTACTCAAATAGCTCTGTGGATGAAGCAGAGATGAACTGGGGACAGGGACTTGGAAAACCCTTCTGCTTTGGGGCATTTATACTTCATTCATGAAACGATGACTGTGATCCTCCAACTGCCAGTCACCAACGTTGGTGTAAAGAGACGAAGACAACACAGTCCCTGATGAACCCACTTTCCCTCTCTCCCTACACAACACTGCCACCCACTTCTGTTACCAAACGGTGCCCCAGTGAACACAACCATCTACACAGTCTATCAAGGAGACGGGGCTACCTTGCAGTTTCTGCAGCTACCTCCTTTCCAGTGCTCCTAGTTGTCCAGCTATCTGGGGTAATTTATCACAATACAGTGTGTGTCTGTGTATTTTTAAAATAGACAATGGATGCCAGTACAATCCCAATGTGAATGCAGACCGTCAGGTGTTCCATGGCTGGAAAGTACAACTCTAGGCGCCCAGCTGCCCATCCACTGAATGCACTGGTCAGGCCTGGGAACAGAATTAGGATGTTGGCTTTACAGTCAAAGAACAAGACACAAATCGGAGTAGCTATAAAACCATAAACAAGGGGTGCCTCTTTTTCATCTTCAGCTCAAGGCTACACCTTCAGCAAAATGAACGAACGCCCCCCCCCCCATTCCTAACACTTTTGCAAGTTTAAGCTTACTTTAAAACACAGGTTACACATCACGAAAACCTCCTAATTTGTCACTAATTAGAAAGACTGGTGTGAATTAAGTGACAATTTAGGATACAAAACACATGCCAAATAGTTTTTTTTTTTCCCAAAAGACGGAAAAGAGTACAGATACCATTTACTGAGGATCTATGTCCCACGCACACACCCTTGTATAAGCCTTTTCCTTGACTTGATCCTCAGAGCTTTTCTGGAGAGTAAATAGTAACGTACCCATTTTTTTTCCAGATACAGAAATTATAGTTTCAGATGCTAAATAACATATATTTCCTCTTCTAGTTCCTCTGGCAAAATTTCTTATTCTCTGAATCAGGTCTTCTCCGTGAGCTTGGTCTTGGGCTGGGAATGATGTATGGGATGACCAGGCACTGAAGGACAGTTAACATCACTGGCTCCTGAGCACAAAATACCAGCAGAAGATGCCAACAGTAGCCCCTACACATCCCAAACATGCCTCGGGAGGACAACGGCCCCTCAAATTGAGAAGCACTGACCCAAAAAGCTCTTCGAGTGTAAAGACGAAAGACTGACGAGAGGGGGACATCCTTGAAAAGCGCTCCTTACCTTCACATCTCTCAAAACCCATTATTTGATGGCATTCGGATGCCTAAGAAACTCCACTCTCTATGGAGTCAGACACAAAATCTCCCTGAATGTATTTCCCCTGCATTCCAAGAGCATTTATTGAGTACCTATTATGGGTCAGCTACTGTGCTGGGAATATAAAGTCAAAGAGTGCACAGTTCCAGCCCCCAAGGGGTTACAGGCTTATAGTCCAGAGAGAGAGGTTAGCATGGTAAGAGGCTAGATGGAAACACAGGTGCACGATAGGGATACTCAGTGCAGAAGGTACCTCTCATGGACAGGATAGAGTACCAGGAAGGCAGAGGAAAGGAAGGGCTGGGAAAGGTTCCCAGAGGAAGGGAAGCTCCCCCTGAGCCTCCAAAGAACAAATGAGAGTAAGACAGGCGGGCCCAGTCCAGGCAGAGAAAATTGCCTTTTCAAAGATCAGAGAAAGGAATCGTATCTTCAGGTGAAATTTAAACTACAATATTTCCTTCATTCTTTAAGTGGAGACCCCATTGAGACTCAAACTCAGGATCTCCTGTTTTACTAGACAGGCAGGTTATCAAACCAAATAATTCACTCCATTTATTTTCCCTGGAAGTTCTCCATGGTCCGTCCACGTGTGTTTCCAAAACCCTTGCTTTCGTAAGGTATCATAACCCACCAGACAAGAAGTACAATTAATTCTGTACTTCTTCCAGTATGCATGCAGGAAATGCTTTTCAAGTACATTGTGGACTTGCAAGCAGTGGGAATGCGTCTCATTGGAGACACAGAACAGTGGGGAAGATAAGAGTCATCTGATGAGTGAGGTAGAGGGGCATCCGCAGATCAGTTTACCCTTGGCCTCAAGCTCAGGATGAACTTTGTCTTTTTTTTTATCTGAAGTTTTATCTCACCATCAATTGTAAGATGAAAATACCCAGATTCCTACCATATTATTACATTTGCATAGGAAACTTAGAAAAGTCTTTGGCTATGCGTTTGTCCTATTCAAAGGCACATATGTTATATAGCATTAAATAATCAAATACATAAATAAACACATTAAATACCGATCTCCAGATAACTGGAAGTGGCCAGCTGGGGATTTCTGCACCTGAAGTAGCCCAAAGGCAGTAGTTCCCCGCATTCATGAAAGCTGAACACCTGGGCTGGGTTATTGCTGGGTTGTTGCTAGTCCGGTTAAATAATGATAAAGAACAAGAGTCAAATTAGCTTAATTTTTCTCACCTGGGGCAGGGAGGGAACAAGAAAGTAAGCAAGTCCTTGTGGTTCTTCATGCCTGCAGCCTACAAGGAACAGGCTCACTTCCCCTTGGCACAGAGCCTGATGCAATTAGCAGGCATGCCCTCTTCTCTCCACACCCAGCCCCTTGTGCGCCGACCTGAGCCACGCTCAGGAACCACAATTCTGGAGCTGAAAGAGGCATCCTTTAGCCCCTTGATTATGTCATTTTATCAGTTTGACCTCCAATTTGACATCTCAACCGTATCTGGTCCACATATTCCCCCGCCCCCGCCCCAAACAACCCTCAGCAGGAAAGCCTGTGTTCTGATCTAAGAGAATCTGAAGTGAAAACTCGGGATTCCACACACACCGCCTGTCCCTGCTTTTAACCAGGAAGTTCAAAGGAGGCAGGACTGTTGAGCCAAAAGTGCAAAGCCAAAGGCCAGAATTATACTAGGGAAGAGGCAGGTGGTTTTCAAAGAAATGAATTCACCCAAATTGAATAAGTTGGTTGTCCGTTTTATCCCTGGCTGATCCCATTCCGTTTCTGAAAACTTTGGAATCCCGGGAGGGCTGCATAAACAGAGACAGGTGTAGGAGCACCTTCACTCTCGGGGTGTATCTGCTGCTGCCCCTGCCGCGTGCACACGGACCACGGGCCCTGGATCCAATCGCAGTCCGTACTTCCCGATGACGCACCTGGTCAGGGTCGTTTCCAACGTGTAGGGGGCAAAGCCAGCATCCCCAGCACTGTGGCCACCCCGCTGATCACCCAGCCAGCCAGCCAGCCAGCCCAGAGGGAGCGGGCAGCGAAAGAGGACCCTCGGGGCTCAGACCTCATGCCTATCTCTCCACGTATCCCCCCCTTTCCAGCACGTCGTTTCACATCAGGGACACTTGGTCTCCAAGCCTAGAGTCCTGCGCACCTACGTGTCTTTCCAAAGCAACTGAATAAAGCGCCTACTGGTCTTCCGTGGCTCAGGTGAGCGCCAAAAGGTGTAAGAGGAAAGGGCCCGCTCGCCACCAACACCATTCCTGTCCTCCCCGCGTTCCCCAAGATTCACCGAGGATGTGTGTATTGGGGTACACGGGTTAAGAGGGAGCTTAAAATGCCCAAGCGTCCCTTACCTTCCACAGCCATTCTCTCAGAGCTTCCCTAACGCATGCATAATTTTCTTGGCCGAGATACTCCTTCTGCCCCCGCGATCCCCCCCTCCTCGCGCTTTCGCCTCAATATTCTGCGCTCATCTGCTCCAAGACCAACCTGCCGCGGTCACGCAGAGAGAGGCTGCCGGCTCCCAGCTCCGCGCGGGGCCGACTGGGAAGTGTAGTTCCCTGTCTGCGCTCCGATCCTCGAAAACACCCCGAGTGCTTCGCGGGACGCGCTCTACCATCCACACTCAGACTGCAGCTCTGGCTTCAGCTGGCCAACGCAGAGCAATTCCTGCTGGGGGTTCCTGTGAGAGGACCCGCGGACCCCAGGAGGTGGCAGAGACTACATTTCCCAAGATGCCCTGAGGTGGGATTCGTTCAGCACTCGGAGTGGAGACCGGTGATTGAGATCTCCCCTTCCATTAGGAGGGTTAAGCACCTGGCAGGGCTCGAGTGGAGTAGGCGGCTGGAGGCGGCGGGGTTTTCGGTGTGATCTCCTGGGCTTGTATTCTGACCTCCTTGGCCACCCATTTAGTGACGACCGCAGGGCCACCAGGAGGCTATGGTTGGTCGCCTGGGCCAGAGAGCCCAGCGCACTGCACAGGGTGCTGTTGAAACTTGTCTCCTCTGCGCCCCGGGTTGTGTGGGGTTCGGGTGAATCCTGGCAAATATTAAAGCTGGTCCTGCACGTGGTTCAGGTGGTTAACACTTCGCACAGGGTTGGACGATGGCATACAAATTTCGAACAGGCATCCTCCCTAAGAGAAAATTGGGAGCAAAACCTAGGAACCAGAATTCCACCTGAGGATGTCAGAGATTTTGGAAACCTTTCAGCTTTGCCTGGCCTGGGACCTGTCCGTGGTGTGTGATACGGCCTACAACGCCTAAGAATTAGTGTTCTTTCAACTGCTGAACCTGTGCCCTTACGCCAGGTGCTGGGAGTGCTTTGAACACCTAGGAGAAAGTGTCACGTGGAGAGCAATAGAATTCCACAGTGGGTAACTCCTGATTAGTCCTGATAAAAATGAAGTTAGCAAACTTTTTTCCCCTGCAGGTGGAAATACAGATGCATTTATGGCTGGTGGAGTTAAGAGAAAGGCCTTGGGAATAAAACTGACTCAGGACTGCAGGAAGACTTTTAAAAAATAACTCTAAGGAAGTGCAAAGATCTGATTCTTCCCATTATGACTACTTAGATTTTCTTTTTCTGTCTTGGTCATATATTTTTTATTTTTTACAAACAGTTTTGTTTCTCAGTGTGTACTAGCACACTGCTTGCTTCCTTGCTTGCTTGCTTCCTTCTCTTCTTTCTTTTAACCACCAAGGACATATGAGCTTAGTCCTCCTATTGGGTAGTATGGCTGTGTCTGGGTCTTTAAAAAGACCTGTGTGTATCCATTAAAGGCCTTTGGTGATACTTTAACTCAGTGCAAATCAAACCCAAGGCTTCCAGCTTTGGTAAACAGACACTTGTTCAGTGAGACACAGTGGTCACGACGGGCAAAATAACTTTCCCAACCACATACATAACCAACCATTCCAAAGGACAGAAGGAACTGAAATCCAGGTGCTTGTCTCCCCTCTCAAGTATATGAAATCACCAGAGCATTTGTGTCCTCAGACTGAACGAATGAAAGAGAAAGCCATGGGCTGACAGGCAATGCCAGTAGTTCACAGCTTCATGCATCAGCCTTTTGCAGAGACACAATACTGAGCCCCACCATAGTCTTGCAGAATCAGGATTTTCGAGGATTTGAGTAGGGACACTTAAGTGTTACACACCCACAGGTGATTCTAATCTGATTTTCACTAGGGTGAAACTCACTGGCTTGTGAGTGCTTTTAAGGATCTGGGTGATACTAAAATGTGAAAATCACCAAAATCCAATTTTAATGACAAAAACTTATTTCAGCTTAAGTCTTGAAGAGCCTCCCCAACTGATATGCATTCCAGTTTGAGTTTTACTTTTTTAAAAAATTTTTTTAATTAATTTTTTTTATTGATTATGCTGTTACAGTTGTTCTATTCCCCCCTTCATTCCCCTCCACCCTACCCCCCATCCCCACCATTACCCCCCTTTAGTTTATGACCGTGTGTCTCAAGTTCTTTAGATTCTATATTTCCCATACTATTCTTGCCCTCCCATCTATTTTCTATCTACTGTCTATGCTACTTATTTTCTGTACCTTCTCCCCCCTTCTCCTCATCCCACTCCCCTGTTGCTAACCCTCCTTGAGATCTTCATTTCTATGTTTCCACTCCTGATCTAGCTGTCCTTTTAGTTTGCTTTTGCTTTAGGTGTGGTTGTTAATAACTGTGAGTTTGTTGTCCTTTCACTGTTCATATTTTTTTAACTTCTTTTTCTTAGGTAAGTCCCTTTAACATTTCATATAATAAGGGCTTGGTGATGACGAACTCCTTGAATTTGATCTTATCTGAGAAGCACTTTATCTGTCCTTCCATTCTAAATGAAAGTTTTGCTGGATAGAGCAATCTTGGTTGTAGGTCTTTGGATTTCATGACTTGGAATACCTCTTTCCAGCCCCTTCTTGCCTGGAAGGTCTCTTTTGAGAAATCAGCTGACAGTCTGATGGGAACTCCTTTGTAGGTGACTGTCCTCTTAGCTCTTGCTGCTTCTAGGATTCTCTCCTTCATTTTAATCTTGGCTAATTTAATTATGATGTGCCTTGGTGTGTTTCTTCTTGGGTCCAACTTCTTTGGGACTTTCTGAGCTTCCTGGATTTCCTGGAAGTCTATTTCCTTTGCCAGATTGGGGAAATTCTCCTTTATTATTTGTTCAAATAAGTTTTCCACTCGTGGCTGTTCCTTTCCCCCTTCTGGTACCCCTATAATTCGGATGTTGGAGCGTTTAAAGATGTCCTGGAGGTTCCTAAGCCTCTCCTCATTTTTTTGAATTCTTGCTTCTTCACTCTTTTCTGTTCGGCCATTATTTGCTTTCTTCTAGTCCACTCCATTGATTTGAGTCCCAGTTTCCTTTTGATCGCTATTGGTTTCCTGTGCAATTCCATTCATTTCAATTAGTTTCACCTTCATATGTTTCTCTAATTTGTGGCCATAATCAACCAGTTCTGTGAGGATCCTGATCACCAGTGTTTTAAACTGTGCATCTGAGAGTTTTGCTATTTCTTCATCGCTTAGATTTATAGGCTCTTGGGCTTTGAGATCTTCTTGAGCCACTTTTGGTCTGTTTGTGCCCGTTAAGTCTGAGGAGCGGAGCCTTGGACTCCCAGGTCGCTGGGTTGTGACTCTATGTGGAAGCGGGGTCAGAGCAGGGAAATGGCGGCCCCCTCTGCTGTTTCTGGCAGCTGGGTGAAGAGCAGAGCTTTAGGTTGTTCACGGGGCAGGGCCACTTAGGTCGCTGGATTATGACGCTGTATGTGGAGGCGGGGTTAGAGCGGGGAAATGGCGGAGCCCTCCGCCACTGCTTGCCGGTGGGGCTGCTGGCTCTCGTCCAATCACCCAGTCCCTCGCTTGTCTATCCACACACGAATGCGCGACCACATTCAACCCGCAGCCCTGCTCCCTCGCTGTTTCCCCGAGGTCACTCGCTGAGTTGCCCACCAGGTCCAACCGTGCGCCTGGATTCCGCGCGCATGAGTCCGTCTGACCGAGTTTTCCTGTGCAACCCTGCGCTGCCAGCTGCTGGTTTCGCCCCTCTTACCGGTCAGGCTGAAGAATTTGTTGTTATCAGACTTCCAAAAAGTTCAATTTTCTGTGTTCTGGTTATGTTTTCTGTTGCTATTATTTAGTTGTCTCTAAACTTGGTTGTGTGAGGAAGCATGGCATCTCCACCTATGCCTCCATCTTGGTGGAAGTCCCGGAGTTTTACTTTTAATCTAAATATAAATAAGATGTGAAAGAAATGGTAGTGTAACCATATGAAATAGCAGATATTTAACTTCTAACAGTTCTATCAATGAAGCCGTTTTTGTGGTTCAACCTATTGAAGGGTAAGCAGCCACTGAGCAGGGAGTTTCCATTGTGGACAAGTATTAGAATCACCTGGGAAGCTTAAAAACGAATAAACATTTTCTAGTAGAATGGCCAAAAGAAAATACCAGTTTGGCAATATTGTGGAGCAGTCAAGACTCATGTATACTGTGCAAGCTGATATAAGCACTACAGAAAACCATGTGGCATATGAAGTCAAACATAAGCTCATTTTGTGACCCAGCAGTTCCACACCTAGATGTGTATCGAACATATATGCATATACATCTTTTTCAAAAGACACACACAGGAATGTTCATGGCTGCATTATTGGAATAACTACAAACTGGAAACAAACCAAATGCTCATCAGCAGTTGACTGGATAAATGAATTGTAGTATAACCAAACCATCCTTTGTGGCAGGGGTGAGCAAACTATGGCACATGGGCCAAGCAGAGCTCATGCTTATCTCTGTATGGCTATAAACTAAGTATAGTTTTTACATTTTTACATGTTTGGAAAAATCTGAAAAAAATATTTTGTGACACATGAAAATTATAGAGAAGTACCCACATAATATCCTCAATTTTGCTTTTTGGTCTGCAAAGTCTGAAATATTTTCTGTCCCTTTATAGAAAAAAGGGTTTTCAAACCCTATTTAAAATAATGAGAATGAGTGAATAAAACAACACGGATGGACCGTGTTGCATTAACATTTCATATGCATTAATGCTCAATTGCCAATAACAAGTTGCCCTTAAATTTAGTAGCTTCAAATAATGCCCATTTATTATTCCAGTTTCTGTGGGGTACAAATTTGGGTGCAGCTCAGCCGGGGCCTCTCCCTTGGGGTCTTTCACAGGCTACAGCCAAGGTGTTTGCTGGGCAGAAGTCATCTGAAGGCTCACGGAAAAAGTGCCAGTTTCCAGACTCACATGGTTCTTGGCAGATTTCAGTTCCTCACAGACTGCTCATGATGGAGGGCTGAGTTCCTTGCTGGTGGCTGGGCAGAGGCTGCCCTTAGCACTTGGCCATAAGGGCCTCTCCAACATGGCAACCTGCTTCATCAGAGCCTGCAAAGCTGGCCAGACAGAAATCACAACCCTTTGTAACCTAATGATGGAATTGCCATCCCCTGAATGTTGCCATATTCTACTGGGGACAGGCTTTTCAAGGGGA